GGGGGGGCAAGGGGGGGCGATGCCGGCCTGGCTGGGATACTATGATTTCACTGGCAGGATGAACACTGGGTCAGAATCCCACGCGTTTTGCATCGGTTCCTGGGGGGTCTTGAAAACCGGGGGGGAGGCGGCAGGACCTATTTCCTTTTTAGACAAAGAAAATACTACCCTGCACCGCGCTCAACCACCTCCACTGCCAGCGCAATCGCCCCACCCACCTGCGACTTGGCTCGCAGCAAAATCCACGCGGCGGCGATTGCGATGAGCGCTCGACGCTGGCTGGCGCATCTCCGCGGCCGCGCCGACCCAAGCCCGCGCACGCAGCGGCCGGCTAGTTTAGCGCGACCGACGCGCCCGCGGTCGGGCTGACCGCTGGGCGCATCCCAGCGGGCACTTTAGAACGAGTGGGCGATTTGGGCGGGCGCGGCACCATAGCAACGTCGATAACGCTAAACAAGATGATGATAGTAGCCGCGCTGGCTGCGACGTCGACGACGACGACAGCGCGGCCGGCGCGGGCGCCGAAATTGATCGCGCCGACGACGACGACGGCGCCCTCGCGTCGGCGAAGAAGGTTTTAGAGAGAGTTCGACACGCGCGCGCGGACAACGCACGAGAGCGACCCGCATGATAATATTTGACACTGACCGCGCCCCCCAAGCGCGCGCGCATGGGCGCGCGAATGATGTCGGCACGCGGCGCCAGGCCCAGTTGGCAAAATTCCATGAACACATTGGGAAACATATGGTTTTTCTGTCTCTGGCTCGCAAGAGCGCGTGCGCACGCTTTTTTGAAAACTGACGTTCGAAACCATGTGCGTTCATATGTTGTTTGGACACTCGGTTGTGAAATTGCCACGAGACCGATGGTTTTTGACGCATTTCGGCACGCGCGCGACGACGCGCACGCGTGCACGATGTCATGTTCCATCGCAAAGGATTCTCGCGACGGCGCGCGAGCATGGGCGCTCGAACGATTTCGACGCGCGCAAAAAATGACTGATTGCTTCAAAACTTCGCAAAAGCGCGCAAGCTTTTTGTTGAAGACCCGCGTTGCGGAACCATGTGTTTTGGACCCGAATTAAAATTCTAACATGGTTCTCGAAGGAGTTCGGCACGCGCGCGCGACGACAACGCGCGCGCGTGCACTTCGCCCCAGTCGTTGCAAGGGATTAGACTGATGAGTTGTGATGCACGAATGCGCGCACTGAATATTTTTGCAGAGGATGGCGGGGGGGGCGACGCGGGTCGGGCCGGGGTGGCATGAATTCATTTTTAGGACGGGCGACGGGGCAGAGTCACATGCAAATTGCAAGACGAAGAGGGGGGCGACAATCCTGGGGGGGGGGCAGAGTCTATTCTCTGTCTAGAAAGGGGAACCCACGTGGCGCAATCCACGCGGCGCAATTTACGCGCGGCAAATGACGCAATGCACCATACGCGGCGTAATCTACGCGGCGCAATCTACGCGACGGCGGCGGCGGCGACGGGCTGCACCGCCCGCGAAAGCCGCCACTTGCCCCGAGCGGCGGCGAAGGCGACGGCGACGGCGGCGACGGGCGGAGCCGCCCGCAGAAGCCGCCATTCACCCCGAGATTGTCAGGCCAAGCAAGAACCCCGATGCGCCAGCACTGCTAAGAAAAACATCAAATCCACGCGCCAGCCCAACCATGCCACCCAAAAGATAGAGGGGGCAATTTTTGGGCACATGGCGGCGCGCCCTCGCTTCAACTCGGGGGGGCAAATCGCCGGAGCCCCCGAGGGAAAATCCCCGAGGCCCTGGCGCCCCCGGAAACATCGCAGGGGATGACCGGGTTGGGAACAAGTCCCTAATGCTCGTCGCTCGAACCAATAGTGCCATGAGCACACTGATAAACAGCACCGCAAATGCAGACGGCTACTCCTCTGCTCCACGACGCGCCCTCAGAAAGATGAACTCGCATCGAGGGGCCGTGACAAATGGGAACGGGAAGCAACGATCCACCCCTAGCATTGCCACGGCCTGCATTCGGCCCCCGCGCAGTTTCAAACGATCCCATGCGTCTGCCCACTCCAATCACGCGAGAGATAAGGGACCGGTTGATGGGACTATGGCAGCATATGTCCTCGCTCCAGACTCGGGGGGCCAAGTCGCCGGGCCCCCCCAGGCCCAGCCGGGGAAATCCCCGGGGCCCCCGCGCCCCCTAAGTGCGATCATGAGCCACCGCAGACAGCCGCAAACAACAGTGCGAAGCGCAGCACGAGCATCCCCACGTTCTACAGGGGCGCATTCTTCGCCAACTACCTCGTGCACTTCGGGGCCGGCATCCGCTCGGCGGCGGCTGCTCAACCCGAAGCGCCAGCCGCGCGAACTCCGCCGAGGGCCCGGGCCAGCCCGGCAGGCGCCGAACTGCACGCGACGCACAATCACGGGTCGGACGTTCTCGACCAACCCGCCAGCATCCGCGCGCAAGCGCCCGGCGCCGGCGGCTTCGAGCTCCAGCCCCTGGCACGAAGACGCAGCTGCCACCTCGAGGTCGTCGACGCGTCGGCGCGCCCCCGCAGAGCGGCGCGCCCCTCCGCCTCGGGGCCCGTCCCGGTGAGGCCCCGCGCCGGGGCCGCCTCCCCGAGCGCGCGGCGGCGCTCGCCGCCCCCCGGCCCCCGCCCAGGGCCCCTGCGGGCGCCTCTCCAAGACCCCATCGGCGCGCCCCAGCGCGCCCCCGGCGCCCATCCTGCGGAGGCCTCGAGGGGAGCCCCGCGGACCGAGCCAAGGATCGCTGAAGAGCACCAACGGCCCAAAAGCTGCACGGCCCAAGAATCGAGCCCAGTCCTGGCCGACCCCCGCGCCCCAATATAACCCGCGGGGCGCACCCCGCCCACGCCCCCGACCCCCCCCCCGCGGGCACCAGCCGATGCGCGCCCAGATGCCCCGCCGCCGACGCAACGGTCGCCGCGGCAGCAGCCTTGGAGCAAGGCCGCCCCGGAGATCCGCGGGCACGGGGAGATCGGGAAGGGCCATCCCCCCCGAAGACGGCCCCGGGAACATCCTCCTCAACCAATGGGCCTGGGAAGCAATTTTGCGCGCCAGACATGAGCGGCCGAAGCGGCCCGACCGGCAGCCGCGCCCGCGAGCGCGAGGTCGAGGCTTCGAGGTCCCAGGACACCTTCAAAACGTGGCCAGAGCCAACGGAAGCGACGAAACATGCCCTCGCGCATGAGATCTCGATCTCCCGGAGCATCCACCGCGCGCCGACGCGACGATGATCACCCATTCGGGGACAGCCGGGACGCCTGGCACCCACGGCTCCTCACCATCGGGCAACAAGTACAAGTCCTCCATCCGTAATGACGAGACTTGAGAACTGCGCACCACGCCTCTCTCAGATGCCCCGGTCACATCACTCGGGGCCCTCGACGCGCAGACGTCCAGAGCATAGCCCCCCCGCTCAGCTTCGACCCTGGCTGCGGAAAGGCGCAGCCGCGCCGAGCGTTAACGACAAGCTGTCAAACTTGCGCCCAATCGGAAGCCACCGAAATCGAATCGAGTCGAATCGGAAGAATCGAGATCCGCCCTGAAGGCGCCTCAGGGTTCAGCGGCGAGGGCGCCGAGACCAGGACACTGTCTGAAGGGGCCTCCTCTTGACACGACGGCGGGCAGCCCGGGGGGAATGAGCCGGCGGCGGCACCAGGGGGCTGAACAGCGCGAAGACCAGCGCGGCCCGACGGATCCCCGCCCAATTCGGGAGCGGCCAAGAGGGGGGTGTCCAAGAGGGGGGGGTGCAAATCATGACCGGCGGCATGTGCGCGGCCCAGCGGGGGGGCCAGGCGCGTAATAAAACAAGAAGAGGCGCCACGAAATCTGGGGAGATATCATGGCTCCCGCCATGATATCCACACCCCCCTAGTCATCACCCCTCTCTTCTCCGCCCCCGCCCAGAGGGTGAGGGCGGCCGAGAGCACAGCACGGCAAGTGATCGACGCCGGGAGGCGGAGCAGGGCCGGAGCGGACCGAGGCCGCAGGCCTGCGCCGAGTCGCCGCCGTCGGCAGCCCGAGGAGCGCGACGGGCCGGCGCCGCGCAGCCAAGCCTCCCTGCAGCGGCGCGGTGGCGCGGCCTCGGCCGGCAGCCAGACAACGCCCTGCCGGACAGGTCGATGTCGTTCAAGGGGCCCTGGGACACACAAATACGTAGGCACAACTAACAGGAGTCCCCATGCTTCCCCATACTTTCTGGGTGTTCGTCTTCCCCCGCACTTCCATATTTCCCCATATTCCCTGGGGAATCGACGCTTAATTGTGTCGGTGTGTTCTTCCCCCTCCTGAATCGTGGCGCAACGGCTGCCAGCGCCTGCAGGGAGGCGTCCGGTGGGGGCAGCGCGCTATGAGCCTGGGCCCTGGTCTGCGGAAGGGGCGAGCTTCCTGGAAGAGGGAAGGCGGGTCTGGGCCTGGAGAGAGGGAGAGGGAGGAGGGAGGAGGAGGAGGAGGAGGAGGAGGAGGAGGAGGAGGAGGAGGAGGAGGAGGAGGAGGAGGAGGAGGAGGAGGGGGAGTAGGAGGAGGAGGAGGAGGCTGAGGCGGAGGCGGAGGAGTAGGGGGGAGGGGGGGAGGGGGAGGAGGAAAAGGAGGAGGAAGAGGAGAAGGAGGAAGAGGAGGAGGAGGAGGAGGAGGAGGAGGGGTAGGTAGATGACGAGGAGCGGGAGATCGGGAAGGGGAGCACGAGCAGGAGAAGAGCAAAGGGAGGGGGAGGAGACGGAACAGAAGCAGCGGCAGGAGAGGACGAGGAGTGCGATCGGAAGCTGAAGGGAGGAGAGGGACAAAGGATTGCTGCTAGGGGAAACTGCATCTTGTCTGTCTTGACGAGGCCTATCTTGGCGGCAAGGCTAGGGCTAGGACAAAAGCTCGAAGAAGCACGAGGATGAGAGCGTTGAAAGAGAGGCAGACGCAGAGCCAGAGAGTCAGAGTCAGAGTAGGCCAAGGTCGCCCCGAGGCGGCACAAAAATGGGTGGCGGACGCGAGCGACGACGCTCCTCTGGGCGGGTCCACATCTGGAGCTTGTCCGACTTCTGCTTGATCACAGCGTCCCACGCCATCTTGCCGTCGGCGCCAGCCTGGCACGAGGGTGCGGGCGGCAGACGCTGCACTGGAGGAGGGGCGTGAACGGGCGGGTGGGAGACGGGAGGGAAGGCGGGGAGGGGGGATGAAGGGGAAGGAAAGGGGAAGCGCTCTCCCTCCCGTTGCTTCCGTTACCCACGCCAGGCGATGTCAGTGACGCAAGCCAGACAGCACTGACACACCCCGCCCACAAGGTGGTGCGCACACTGCCACCTTCGCCAACACCACCCGTGCCTCCCTCCCTCCATTAGTCCCTTCCTGTCCTCCCCATTATCATGCCTCTTTCCTGCCATCTCCTCCGCTCCCCCCGATCCATCCGTTCCTCCCTACATGTGTTACCCCTTCTCATGCCCCCTCCCTCCCCTGTCCTCCCCCACCCCTCCCCCCCTCCCTCGCTGCCATTGGGTGGGGACACCGACCAAGCTTTCACGTCGCAGCGCGGCGGAAGCAATCCGCTCGCGCGTCGAGGTGAGACCAGGACACGGCGTGGCGAATTGGCCCGCATGCGGGACGCCAGGAACGAAGAGAGAGCGGCCGTGGATAGGGGGCCGGAGCGCGGGGGCACTCTCACGCAGCAAAGCCGCGGGGCGCGCGCCGGGGCGGCCAGGCTGAAGGGCAGCCCTGGGCAGCAACCAGGGGCGGGGCCAACGGCCGCAATGCGGGCGTAGCCCAACAAGTGCAAAACGGGGAGCGGCAGGCGGCCGGCAAAAAAACGCGCCAGGACAGGAGGAGGCAAATAACGCGCATCATGTGGCTGGGTGGGTGGGTGGGTTCGGCGGCGACACACAACTGAATACAGTCGCGCCCGGCCTGTCGAATGTTTTCAATTCGAGCACTGTCCGTGTTGCTATACGTGGTATTGGTGTAGCGAAATTGCCTTGCAGTGCGATCGCTACGAGGAGCGTTGACAACACAGTGCCCGCTCTCACCACGCATGCTGACGCACTGACTTACGCATGCACCACATCGCCAGTGTACACCAGAATGATTCGGTGCATGGCACTGCTCCTTTGCACCACAGCGCCGGCGCACAAAACTGCGAACGCGTGCGCCACAACGCTTTACACAACAATGCGGCCACACAAACATGTTCCACGTGCACCACAGCGCTTGTGTACAACACGATCTACGTACACACACACACACACACACACACACCACAACAACAGCCGCGCGCAGCGCGGCGATTGGCGCTTGCGTGCGTCATTATGTATATGCACACCCAAAACCCGCGTACACTTTCAGGGTTCCGACGAAGCTATAGGGCCTATAAACCGGAACTACCGCATTGAATATGAAAAGGGGGGCGCTCGGAAAGGGGGGAGGTAACGTATCGCATTGGAGACGCAAGTTGCTTATGTTTGCTGTTTTTGGACCGCCTGGAAACTATTCTGGCAAGTTTTTCGTAAACCCCTGGCTCACAACGGCCAAAAGAACACCCAAAACTGCCCAATGAGCTCGCAAGAGGGGGACCACCAAGCGACAATTCGAGCCGTCCGCCTGAAACCGCCGCCACGAGGCCCCAATGCGCGCCCAAGAGGGCACCCAGAAGCGCCCCCAAGAGGGCACCAAGACGCTCAAATCCCCCCTTTTCCCCATGCATTTGCCCGTCGTCCTGCTTGCACTTCTCGTCCTCTTCGTCCTCGTTTTCGTCCTCCTCCTCCTCCTCCTCCTCCTCCTCCTTCTTCTCCCCCTCTTCCTCCTCCTCCTCATCCTCCTCCTCCTCCTCGTCCTCCTCCTCCTCCTCCTCCTCCCTCCTCCTCATCATCATCATCATCTCATCATCACATCATCATCATCATCATCATCATCATCATCATCATCATCATCATCATCATCATCATCATCATCATCATCATCATCATCATCATCATCATCATCATCATCAATCATCATCATCATCATCATCATCACCATCATCATCATCATCATCATCATCATCATCATCATCATCATCATCATCATCATCATCGCATCATCATCATCATCATCATCATCATCATCATCATCATCATTATTTTCATCATCATCATAATCATCATCATCACCATCATCATCATCATCATCCTCATCATCATCATCATCATCATCATCACCATCACCATCACCATCACCATCATCATCATCATCATCATCCCCATCAGCTGCAGCATCATCATCACCATCATCATTATCAGCAGCATCACTATCATCACCATCATCACCAGCAGCAGCATTATCATCATCGCAACCATGATCACCTCATCATCCTCCTCGTCCTCCTCCTCATCCTCGTCCTCCTCCTCCTCCTCCTCATCATCCTCCTCCTCCTCTTCCTCCTCCTCTTCCTCCTCCTCCTCCTCTTCCTCCTCCTTTTCTTTTCCTCCACGCCACCCCTCTTCCAATCACCAGGGGTCGGCGGCGCCCGCCGTAAATCCTTCCCTGTAAACTGGTCACTTCGGGGTCACAGGGTGAACACTGCGCCGTGGTCGGCGCGGTGGTAATACAAGAATTGCTCGAAGAAGTTGCGGCGCACCACAGTCACCAGAGCACCGCTCGCCAAGTAGCAGCCCAAGAAAACAAACTCTGCGCACCCCTGTGTCTGCGTACGAATGCACCCCCGTGCCTTTAAACTATGTACGCCGTCAGCTTGTACATCAATGCCCGCGTACACCACAAATCCCGCGTACACAACCAGGTGCCCGACGGTGTCAAACTCCAACAAACCATTGCCGGCCCGAGCGTGCCAATTTCAGCGCAAGTTGTTTGTATTTCTTGCTTTTCCTGGCCACGGGCACGGCCCCTACCCCCGCTGCCTACGCTTGTGTGCACCACAACTGCCGCCGCAGCCGGCGTGCGCGCTATGCACACCGCGCTCCTTGTCTCTTCCAATGTGAATGCGCCACCGCGCCTGCGCGGGCGCCACAGCAGCCTGCGCGCGCCACGCGCCTCTACAGACCACGAGCACATGCCGGCGCACACTGCAAACACGTTGCGCGAGCACTACGAACAGTATACACGTGCGCTACGCAACAGGCGCTGCTGCAACGAAGGTGGGTGGGGCGGCGGGCATGATGTTATTTACTAGGTGGTTGGGTAGGTTGGAGGCCACATGGCGCGCGGCATGTGTTCGAATAACAGAATTTCAGCGCGGGCCAAAAGGCACGGTGCGACCAGCGCTGCAGCAGCTGCGAGGGCGGCCCCAGGGCGGAGAGCGGTGGGCGGAACAGCGGCGAAGTCCAACTGGGTAGCCAGACGGCAGGCCGCAGGGGCGAGGTGCCGAGGGCGAAAAGCGGAGAAACGCGCGCCATTCCAAGGCCGGCGCACGGCACCACAGCCTGGGACATGGCCGAACCCGGCGCAAGTGGCACACGGGCGGGGCCCCCACTAAGTGGAAGCAAACGAGAGGGACTCGCCGCTACGCGGCGCCGCCCGGGGGCGCCGCGAGCCGCGCGCGCATCGGCGACCGGCGGAAGGGCAGCGCCGGAGCGGGGCAGGGCCCGCAGCGGCAGGGGCAGGCGGGCGGCACCCGAGCCGCAGAGGACGCGGCACCCAGGAAGGTCCACGCCGACGCGGCGGGTCTGGGACGGGGGCGCCAGGGGCAGGCCGAAGCGGCCCGCGCGGGGCGGAGACCAGCAGGCGACCGCGGAGGCGCGCAGGCACCAGAGGCGGCGCGCCAACTGGGAAGGACGGCGCGCCGCGGGGCGAGAAGCAGCAGGGCGCCCGGGGGGCCAAGCCGCGGGGGGGGGGCGGGCCCAGCCGCCCCACGCGCTGCCCAGGTCGGGCGGCGCGCCGGGGGGCGGGCAGCGGGCGCCCCCTGGAAAGGGAGCGCCCCAGGGAGAGTACCTGACTGGCGCGCTGAGTTGCCTCTTGGGCTGGAGAGCGCGCCGCGGGCCGTCGTCGCCGGAACCGCGCCAAAAAGAGAGACACCTCACTGGCGCGCAGACGGGCGAGAGAGACGGGAGCGGGCGCCTCCCGGCTTGAAAAGCACACCGCGGACGTCGTCGCCGGAACTGACTGAAACGGGAAGCACCTAACTCGTGCGCGGACAAGTGGGGAATCTGCGCGGGCAACCTGGGCCGGGCGACCACGCGCCGTCATCGGCGCCGCGGCGTCGAGAGCGCGGGCAGGGCTGCCAGCTGCCCATCGGCCCTCCGTCGACCTAAAGCCCACGCAGTCGAGACTGATCCCCCACGGGCAAGGTCGCTCTGCCGCCGCCGCCACGCCATGCCCCGGTCAACGTCCTGGCGGCGAACGCGGCGCGGGAAGAGGATGTCGTCGTCGACGCTGGCCAGCTCAATCATAAAGGCCTCGCTAAAGTCTTCGTGGCCTTTGGAGTCGCAGGCGCCCTCGCAACGGCCCTTCATCGCCCCGCTGATCGCTGGCCCCGTTCCATCCTTCCACGAAGAGCGCGCCGCAAGAGTGCTCCAGGCGATCGACCATGTCTGCCCAGGTCTCGCGCCTGTTCTCCACATTGGACCACTGAGGTGCCCACTGGATGTGGCACCTGGGGTTCTTGCATCGGCGGTCCACGCGATCGCCCCGTGCCCTCCACCCGGTGGCCGTCCCGGCTGCGCCCCGCCTGCCCCAGGTCTGCGCGCGCCCCCCAACGGCCGTCGCGGCCCCGGTGCCGCTGGGACAAGTTGCCCGAGCACTCAGACTCGGCTCGCCCCGCGGGGGGGGGGGGCCCAGGGCGACCCCACGTCGGTCGGTGCATCTGCCACCAGGGGGCGAGCAGCATCGGCGAACGTCCGCTTGGGCCGCAGGCGCGCCCCGGCAGGTGCGCCCCCGGGGGTCCCGCACGGCTCCCCCCTCTCAACGAGGGCCACGCCAGGTGGGTCGTGCTGGGCCTATCCCGTATGCTTACAGGGCAGTTTTTAATACATAGGATTTTTCAAATATAGGATTTCTAATACATGATTGATTTATGAATTAATGTATGCATGAACTCATCGTTGTTTTAAATACTAAATCCCTGCGTTTTTAATACATGATCCGCACGCGGAGCATGTATTAAAAACGGCACTGTAGCCAGAACTCGCCGATGCGGACGCACAGGTGCTGCCCTTTGGCGACCTTCGTCGAATGGCCCCAGGATCACGCCTCCGTCGGGGCTTGGGAGAAGGCGCCCCCTTGCTCGTCGGCCTGCGCGCGCCAACAGGCGGCCCGCTGGTGCTCTGCATCTGCTTCTCCACCTCCAAGTCCACCATCGTCTTCCACGCTCGCCCCATCTTCATAGACCCGCTGCAGCCCAGTCGGCAGCGCGAACGCCAAGAGCCCCGAAAGCACCCCACAGCATGAGACCACCCCTGAAGTTGCCCAAACAACACCCAGGCCAAGACGTCAGTCATCGCCATCGTCTTCCACCGGCCACGAAACGACCCTGAGGGCTGCGAGAAGCACGCGCCAACGACTCCCCCGAACCTGTTGGTGGATTCGGATTTGGCGCGGGCGGCCCCCCAAACGTCCAAGAGGCCCCCAGAAGGCCACCAAGACGCTCCCAGAAGCTTCCGCCGCAGAGGCCCCGAAGGCACGCAAGGAACTGTTTGAAGCTTTGACCACGGAAGAGAAAACTTGCCACTGCGGAGGCCCCGAAGGCGCGCAGGGAACTTGGAAGCTCTGAACGCGGCAAAAAAACTTGTCATTGCGCGCCCTTATTCTCACGGCGGGGCTCGCCATCCCTTCTCCGCGGGATGACCTTCACCCCCCCCCCCGCGGTCATCAGCGTCGCCTCCTCGTCGCACCGACCCGCGCCCCTCTCCAACGACCCTCGCACCCACCCCGATCCCCATGCCCGCGGCCCCCACTCGCACCCACGGTTGCCGATGTCTCAACCTCGCGACCTTCACCCACCTCGTGGTCAACACATCAGCTCTCTCGCTGCCGGAAGCGCATTCCGTCATGAACTCCTCCCTTTTCTGGCGACTGAGGGAGGTGTCTCGTGGTGCCCGTCCACCTCGCCGTCGTCTTCATTATCCTGTTATTTGTCCTCGTCGTCCAAGCTGCGGATCATTCGTTTCTGTTTTACTCCGTCGACGCTCACGGCATGACTCTTCGCACGTCATGGCAGCACCCCCCCGTGGTCACCACTTCCTCCCACCTCGCGTGCGTGATTTTGGCCCCGTCACACCGATGCCCTCTCACCCAAACCTAACGCATGCCTGTGGCCCGTTCGGAGATACTGGCCATGACCCCCTCTCGTGGTCATCCTCCGCTTTCGCCAATTACCAATTCACCGACAGGTTGGGAACGCATGGACGCAAGACGAAAGCGGAGGCGAAGCGAAGCGAGCCGTCAAGTCTTGTGTATATATATGTATATCAATATACAGACATTCCGAGCAGCGGTTGACAGAACAAGTCGGTGAGTAAAGCCTCGCGAGGCTCAGCTGAACAGTGAAGCCTGGCGTGGCTGGGATGGGGGCGGGAGCTGCGAATGAGGGCATGTCCTGGTACTCGGATACACTGTGCCATCAACGGCCTCGTACCAGCAGTTTCGCAACTCGAGCCGAACATTATCCAGGCGACAGACCCAGACATATGCAGCTGTGAGCACCGTGCTGCGGCAGCGCTTCTGATGGAATTCCATATGGGGCAACGGACCGTGTGGCGGTGCGCCAGAATGGGACGGCACCGCCATACGAACCAGGCCACGGGGGCCATCGGTCGAGCTCCCTATGAGGCCTCGAACCGTGTGAGGGGTGCGTCGAAATGGGGCGGCGCCGCCATGCAATCCTGCCACTGGGGCCTCTGGTTGAGCTCCCTAAAGCTATGAGGCCACGAACCGCGTGAGGGGTGCGCCAAAATGGGGTGGCGGCGGCATGCGAGCACAGCCACCGCGGCCTTAGGTGGAGCCTCCTATGGAGCCACGAAACGTATGTGAAGATGCGCCAAGGTGGGGTGGCGGCGGCATGCGAACGGAACCACAGGGGCCTTGCGTGGAGCTCGCCCGCCATGCGGGCCCTGCCACTGAGGCCTTCCGTGGATCTCCCGATGGGGCAACGAAACGTGTGAGGGGTGTGCCGAACAGACACACGCGGAGGGCACATGGATGCCAGGCCGCGATCCGTATAAGGGGTGTACCGAAACAGAGGCGTGCAAAGGGCAGAGGCAAGGATGGGAGGGGTGTGAGGAGCGGGAGGAGGAAGGAAGGAGTGACACGGGGCCCTCTCTTCAAAACGAGGACCCCACACCACAGGATGCTTGGGAAAAGCAAGACCCTGGCGGCTCCAAGATCAAACGAGAGACCGCTCCCAAAGGCCGTTCGAAGCCTCGGCCGTGCTCGAGGGGAACGCGGGGGGCACGGCAACGCCTGCAGCGCCACGACTTTCTGGTTGGCGTGCCCCTTGCCCATGTCCAACGGGTACTGCGCGACGCTGATCTCTGGGAAGGCACCTCGCAGGTACGATCGGGGAACTGCTCAAAGCCTCCGCCCTCGCTCCCCCCCCCACCGTCCTTCCACCGTCCCTCTCCGAATCAAGCCCTCGAGAACCAGCGGGCGAGAGCATCAACCCTGAAAGCAGCTGGTATATCTTGACCCACGGTTGTGTTTCGCCCCTCGGCTGCCAATAGATAGTTTCAAGGCTTCGCGGCGGCCCCTGGACTTCTCAAGGTGTTCTTTCTTTGGTGTTTACGGCCTTCGGGCGCGGACCAAAAAAAAAAACAGCGCCCAAGAAACCCGAGGTAGACTGCCATTGAAGGTTTTGCCACGATGTTCGAAAGCCTTCAGCTCGAACACCACCCAAAGAAACCCAAGGCGCGAAGACAAAACTTGGGAGGCTGCGCGCCGCAACACGTCATGGCCTTGTCAGGCGGCCGTTTTGATATGGTCCCCAAACAGAGTTTGCACTCAGGGTTCCTACTTGTTCTCTGGGGAACTGGGCAGTGTAGTCGGCTTGACGGCTATGTACACGCCGTCGCCGCCTCATCGCTGCCCGTCGTCTGGGCCGTGCAGTCGGTCTGGCGGCTGCGTATTCGACGTCGTTGCCGCGTCACCGCCTCGCCGCCCGTTGGCGACATTGGATCGCACCACTGAGGATTGCACGAAAAACCACGCTTGAATTGCACCACGTATATTGCACAACATAAATTGCACCACGATGGCAGAACCACATAGGTTGCACAGCCTGGAGTGCAGCACGTAGATGGCACGATTGTTTGTTCGCGCCTACGGCGCGCTGTTTGATCGTTCGCGCCGTAGGTTTCCCCCCCGGTAATCGGTATTCTAAACGTATTGCAGTGTGCATACAGTTCTGCTCCATCACCCATCCTAAATATGAAACCATACCATCCCAGCCAAGCCGGCGGCGACACCCCCTGTCATCCTGCGCAGGAAAAGATACTTGCGCGCACACCCGTTATAAAAAACACGCGACCGAGAAACCCCACATACTTATGTTATGTCACGTGCGTTCACAAACCATGTCACATCTCGTTTCGCCATCCTGACGAGAGACTGACCAGACCAGCCAAATCAGCCAGACCAGCCAGACTGACCAGACCAGCCAGATCATTCGTTCCAGCCATAACCAGCCAAAGTAATCAGACCAGCCAGCCAGGCCAATCAAGCAGACCAGCCAGACCAACCATATTAGTCATGCCAACAACCGCAGCCAAACATGGAGGTGGCAGCGCGTCCACGGCGATTTTGGGAGGCATAGCTGCCGCGCAGGTCGGGCGGTGCTCTGAAGTAGGACTACAGGAGCGCGCCTGCGTGAGAGCGCAGGCGCGCCGAGCAGGCTTGAGCCAAGGTGTTTACAGTTCTTGACAAGATACGAGCTCCCACCCCCAGCGCAGCCCCTGTGGCGTCGAGGAAATGCCACGCCTGCCACGCCATGGGAGCCTGCAACGCATAGGGCCCCCACCCCCAGCGCACCCCGTGTGGCGGCGAGGAAATGCCACGCCTGCCACGCCCTGGGAGCCTGCAACGCACAGGGCCCCCACCCCCAGCGCACCCCTTGTGGCGTCGAGGAAATGCCACGCCTGCCACGCCCTGGGAGCTTGCAACGCACCTATCCGGTGTCGAGAAAGTGCCACGCCTGCTAGGCCCTGCGACATTGGCGCGTATAGAGACCGCGGTGGGCCCCCACCCCCAGCGCACCCCCTGTGGCGTCGAGGAAATGCATGCCACTCCTGCTAGGCCCTGCGACATTGGCGCGTATAGAGACCGCGGTGGGCCCCCACCCCCAGCGCACCCCCTGTGGCGTCGAGGAAATGCCACGCGTGCTAGGCCTTGCGACATTGGCGCGTATACAGACCGCGGTGGGCCCCCACACCCAGCGCACCCCCTTTGGCGTCGAGGAAGTGCCACTCCTGCTGGGCCCTGCGACATTGGCGCGTATAGAGACCGCGGTGGGCCCCCACCCCCAGCGCACCCCCTGTGGCGTCGAGGAAGTGCCACGCCTGCTAGGCCCTGCGACATTGGCGCGTATAGAGACCGCGGTGGGCCCCCACCCCCAGCGCACCCCCTGCGGCGTCGAGAAAGTGCCACCCCCTACCCTGTGTGCTATGCTGTGCTGTGCTGTGCTGTGCTGCTGTGCGGTGAGCTGTGTTGCGTTGTGCCGTGATGTGCTGCGCTGTGCTGTGCTGTGCTGAGTTGAATGCCGCGCCTGGAAAAGGGGAAGGGGGAGGTGTGAGACGCGGGTGCGGCGCGGCAGGGAAAAAAACAGAACCCCACGAAACATGTGGGGAACAAGTTTCCCAAAACCCCTTTGCAAACAATGTTACGAAGTGCACACGCGCGCGTCGTCGCGCGCGCATGCCGAATGTCTTCAAAAACTTCGCCGGTTTCGACGGGAGGGAAAAAATCTGGTGTCAAAAAAACATGATTTCGCAACACGGACTATCAAAAACATTGCGCACGCGTTCCTGCGAATCGGGGCGAAAACCAAAATTCTTCAACATGTTCATCAAATCCTGCCAAGCGGGCTTTTCGCGCGCGCGTGTCGAAATCGTTCTCACACGCCCTTGCGCACGTGCTGTCGCGAGAACCTGTTTGCAAGAAGCGCGACGAAGTGCATGCGCGCGCGTCATCGCGCGCGCATGCCGAAATCCGTCAAAAACCTCGGGTGCCGTAGAAATGTCAAGACCGAACATCGAAAAAACAGATAACAACATTTGGTTTCGCAACGCTATTTTATTTTCTTGTACAAAAAATAAAAATTAAAAAGCAAAAATATATATTAAGCGCGCATGTCTGCGAATTCTTGGGAAATCATAGATGTTCGGCTAAACGGGCATATCACGTCGCATGCCGAACTCACTCGAAAGCTTTTGCGCGCCTGCTGGGGGGGCACGAACCGTGTCAAATGATACCATGCGGGTCACTTTCGCGCGCCGGCTGCGCGCGCATACCGTACACCATCAAAATCCTTCATTACCGACGCGAAAACGCCGTCACCGTCGTCGGCGTGATTCGCATCGGCGCCGACACTGGCCGTGCCGTCGTCGTTGTCAACGTCGTCACCAGCATCGTTACTTGTATCACCGTGTCTACTGTTGTCGGCGTGGCCATGATACCGCGCACGCCCAAGACGCCGACTCGCACTGAAGTGCCCGTTGGGGTGTACCCAGCGGTCAGCGCCACCGCGGCCGCGTCGGTCGCGCCTAATTAACTGGCCGCCGCGCGCAAGTGCATGCGCGGGCCGGCGCCGCGGCCGCAGAGATGCACCGGCCAACGTCAAGCACTCATGGCAATCGCAGCCGCTCGTGTTTTGCAAAACGAATTGCGGGTGGGTGGGTGGGATGGTGGTGCGAGCAGTGGACCTGACAACTGCGAGCCCCACGAGTGCATTGCACTTCATAGATTTCAAACGTCGGCAAAACTGCATAGATTGCACATATCGATTGCACCACATTGATGGCACATCATTTGTCGAACGACTTACGTTGGGCAGCATAGGTTGCACCACAAACGTCGCGCAACCTATAATGCACATCATCATTTGCTTCCCATAAAATGCACCACATCGACCGCATCACAAACATTGTCACACATGAATTGCACAACCCATGTTGCACCACATGTTTGACACCACCCACAATGCACAACAGACATGGACCAATATAGAGTGCACCACACCTATTGCGACACAGTGGCTGTTTCACACAAGGTCTCTTCTTTTGAAAATATGGTTCACCCAACCCCCCCCTCCCAAAATGAACGGTTTTCCATTTCGCACTGCAATTCACATGCGATGTTGACCCACCACCCATCCTACAGAAGGGCCCGTACTAACCCTGCTAAACCGGCCCTCCCTCATTTTCGGCAAGAAAAGCTACGCGCGCGCTCTGGCCCTTGAAAACCCAAGCTGCAAAAACCTTTTGGAAAGAAAAAAAGAAACAACAAAAAAACGACGCGCGCGCGTCGTCGCGCGCGCATGCCGAAATACCCCCCTAAAACATGAACAACACAAACAACAAGAAAAACGCAAGCTGCGTAAGGATATCAAAACACACACACACACACACACACACACACACACACACACACACACGCACAAATGCCTCGAAAACACATCAAGCACATGTTTGTGCGACATCAAGTTTGAAAGATGCTCGCGCTCGTGCCCCTGCGAAGTCCTAGGAAAAGACTACGTCATCAACATGTTCATTCACTTCGGCCAAACGGGCCTCTCGCGCCGCATGTTGAGATTATCCGAACGCCCTTGCGCGCGTGCCGGGGGGGGGGGGGGCACGATCCGCGCACGAGAACACAATGCGGGTCACTTTCGCGAATCGGCCACGCGCGCATGTCGAGCTCCCTCCAAACCTGCCGTCACCGACGCGAGGACGCCGTCATCGTCGTCGGCCTGGATCGCATCGGCGCCGCCGCTGGCCTTGCCGTCGTCGTTCTCGCCATGCTCGCCCGCATCGATACCACCATCGTCGCGTCTACTGTCGTCGACGATGCCGCGACACCGCGCCCGCCCAAGTCGCCGACTCGCACTGGCCCTCGGGAAGGAAAAACGAAGAGGGAGCAGGAAAATGACGAAAGGAAGGAGGAGGGAAACGAGGGGGGAGGAAGAAGGAAGAGGAGGAGAAAAGGAAGAAAGGGAGGGCGACGACAACAACGACGACGAAGACAACGACGGGGTCGCCGTCGCGGGCCCCCAGGCCGATCCGAAACGACACTGGCGACGTTGATCGACGAGGTCGCGGAGGCCAACTGGAACGGGTTACATGCGGATGTGGCCCTTTTCAGCTAGCACCCGAATCGTCGCTCGACACCCGAGGTCTCGGCTGCAAAAACTGCCAACAAAAAACTCGATGCCCCCTATCGCGTGCGCTGGCCGCGCCAACGCTAAGAGCACGTCTCGGGGGGTCGGGCGCAATTCCCCGCCGCCCGCTCGCCCAGCGCTCTGATGTCGGCAACAGCTGGCAGGTTTCCGGCTCGCACCGCGGCGCGCCGCGCGCCCGGCACCACCGCCGCCCCCCGCGGGCCCTGCCCCGGCGCGCCTTGAACGCCCCCCCGCCAGGGAACTCGCCCTCGCGCACGCGGCGGGCGCGCTGCGGAGCGGGCGCGGGTCTCGCGAAGAAGGCGGAACGATCTCGCAGACGATCAGGAGTGGAAGAGCGCCGGGGCGGGCAGCGGCCGCGGGGCCTGCGCTGTCACGCTTCGGCCAGGCGGGCCACCAGGGGGCTGCCGTCGCTGGGCGCGGGCGACGCGCCCCCCGCCAGTCGGGCCGCGGCCAGCACGGAACGGGCGCTGCGAGCGGAGCCCAGGCGCTCTCCCAGGTGCTCCGCGACGCGCAGCACGCGCCACCCCCCGCTCTCCAGCCGGCGCACGGCGCCAGAAAGCACCCCCTCGGCGGCCCCGAGCGCCCCCGCAGGCAGGCGGGGCAACTCGCCAGGCCAGCGCGGGTCGCAGAGGAAGGTCGCCCATCTGTCGGCGCTGCGGTCGCCAGCGCAGGCGCACCGATCAGGGCGGGGCTTCAGGAGGTCGTCGGCGGCGGCCAGCGGCCCCAGCAGGTGCGAGAGCAGGAAAGGTCACCGCGCCCCCTGCGCGCGTCGCAGGCCGTCTGTAAGATCATAACCTCCCTGCTGCGCGCGGCGCGGAACTGGCGCGGCGGCGTCTGCGCTGTCGCCCTTGCTCGTCGGTTCGCGCCCCTGCCAGGACACCCCCCCCGGCTTGCCACCGCGCTTCTTATTCCCCTGCTGCCTGCCTCCCAGCGCAGCTCTGCCGCGCCCCTTCGCGGCCCCGATGCCTCCCATCGCGGCTGGCTCTGCCGTCTCCCATCGCAGCTCTGCCGTCTCCCATCGCAGCTCTGCCGTCCCCCATCACGGCCCCGCTCGCCTCGGAGGCAGAGTCGCCGCTCCCCGGGGGGGCGGCGCGCGCGCCCGACGAGCAGGCGTCGCCGGGCCCGCCCATCTCCTCGCAATCTCCGTCGAGGCCGCCACCTCGCCCCCGTCTCTGGGGCGCGTGGACCGCCGGCAACTCGGGGTTCGATCGCAGTCGCCCGCCCGCGGAGGCGCCGCGGCGGAGGCAACTCTCGCGCGCCCAGTCCCTGCGCGCCCCCGTCGAGGAAGAAGCCCCGCAGCGACGCGGCGTCGTCGCCGTCTTCGGCAGCTGCAACGACAGCCGCGGGCCCCACCGCGACCTGCTCGCCGCGTCCGGACTGGCAGGGACGTCGGAGTCCCTGCGCGCCATCAAGGATGAACGACAGTGCCTTGCTCGCGCCCGCGCGCCCCCCTAGCTCGAAGTCAGCGAAATGCCCCGCGAGAAACGCGCCCGCGCAGGCGCGCGGGGACCGGCGGGCCACGCGGAAGGGCCCGAGCACCGCGCCGCCGACGTTCTCCGCGGGCAGCGGCGCCTCGCGCACGCAGCGGTCGCCGGAGCGCGCAGCTCCCGGCGAAGGAGCGCGCAATGCACCCCCCACGCCGCCCCACATTTCTGCCCCCCCCCCCTTGCGAGCCAGCCCCGCTTCCCACGGCCAGGCGAGAGCCCCGACGCGGAACAGGAGCTGCCCAAAAGGAAAAAAACATCGACGACATCGCCCCCGCCCCTCGCCCCACGCCAGCGGCTCGCCCCCGCCCCGCGCCCCCGCGAGCGCAGCGCGCGCGGCGGGGCGCGCGCGGCGCAGGCTCGGGCACGGGCGCCGACGGCGACCAAACCGCTGCAAGGCCGGCTGCCCCCAGCGGCCCTGGTCGGCGAGCGATAGATCCCCAGCGGCCGTCGCGCCGTTGCAGTCGCCCCCTCCGCAGTGCTCTGCGACGGCAACGCCGCGGTCAGCCTGCTCCGAGGCGATGGATTGCGCCTCCAGCGCGAGGGAGCGAGTCTTGTAATCGTGGGCGGCCAACGCACGCGGCTTCTTGCACTTCCGCGCCCTGCCCCGCCTCGGCCCCAATGCATCCGCTCCTCCGCCCAGCCGCGCTGCTCGCGAAAAGCCAACGCATCTTGGAATGCCATGACGCGCGCGCCCCCGCTGCTGACCACCTACCAGACCAGCCCGACCTAACCCGAAGACCCAAGCCCCAGGTCGGGGGGCACGGGTTCCACGCGCGTTTTTTGTTCAGCGTTCCCCCACCTCCCCAACTGGACATCGAAGGTTAATTTGGGCTATCGGGGAATGGTTGGGCGGGCGGCGAGTCGCCGCCCGCCGCCCGCGGAATTGGCCCCCGGTCGACTGCGCGCCGACCCGGGGGCCCCCCAGCCGCGCGCGCCCGCGGCAGGGGCGTCCAGCGCCAGGGCCCCCGGCGCCAATGTAGGGCGCGGCGACGCCGTCCGCGGAATCGTTCCCCGGCGACGATTGCCTGCGCCCGACGGCTCCAGCGCCTGGAACGTCGCCCTCGCGGTCGACGCTGGGGCGCCAACGGGCGCCCGCGGCGCCGGGGAAGCGCGCGGCGACTGCACCGGCCGCTTCGCCTTGCTTCAACGCCGCGCCAGCCCCCCCCAATCGCGCCAGGGCGCCGGGGGGCGTTCCCCCGCGGATTGGTTGGCCTCCTGGGGCGGACCAATTCCTCGCGCGGAGCCTTCGCAGGCAGCGCCAAGACGCGAACCCCATCCGCTTCGGCCGCGGAGCGAACTACCGCAATTCTCCCGCAGCCGGACTCAAAAATCAGTTTTCCTGTCCTTTCTTTCTTCTCCGAGAAGATGACCTGGCGATGGGGCCCCGCTGCCCCCTGGCGGCGCGCGCAGCGCTCGCCCAACCCGCGGCCGCGGGCCCGAGCGCGCTGGAGTCTCCGCCAACTCGATCCGATCGCCCCCCGCAGAGAAGCCCCGCCGACGAGCGGGAAATGCCTGGAGACGGATGAGACCGAGGAAGGGGCGAAAAAATGGCATTGGTTTTTGGATGCAGTTCAAAGCGGGAGGGGAAAAACAACAGATAACAATATATATATATATATATATATATATATATATATACTAGAACCACGCGCGCGCTTCGCGCGCGCTTAGGTTCTAGCTAGGATCGTCACCGTCGTCATCATGAACATCACCATCGCCATCATTCCCCCCGCCAGGGCTAATGTACATCGTTTCTGGATGCTTCTGGCCGGAATACGAAAGGAGTTTCTGTAGTTAGTCTCTGGGGGAAGTCGCGGGGAAGCTTTTGTTGTCTTTGGTGTTGCGTCGCCAGGAGGTCTGGGCTCCCTCCTCCTCGTGTTCCTACCTCCTCTCTGGACGTCCGATGTCGTGATGCTTTCTGTGCGCGGCCCCTGGACCTCTCGACGACTTCCTGGGGATGTTTTTTTTTCATCCTGAGTCGTTTTCTGACGGTCCCGGGACCCTGCGAGGGGCCCCGGAGGCCGAAAATTGACCGAAACCGCCGTCGTGATTTTTCCAAGACGTCGGAGGTCCAGGTCGTGCTTCCCGCCTCCCCAGACCTCCGACGTCGTAATTTTTGCGACCTCGGGCCCAGGAATCGATTGGGAAAACGCACATGGGAAGGCAAGAAATGATGGACCCATCATTTCGTACCTGTGCCTTGATCAGTGGGACGGGCTTCGCACCGCCGCACATCACAAGACACGCTCGAGCGGATCCAGCCGTGGCGACGTCGGGGACTGCAGAAGGTCGCAAGGACACGGAATCTGAAAGGAAGAAAGAGAAAGAGAGAGAAAGAGAGGGAGAGAGAGAGAGAGAGACAGACAGACAGAGAGCGAAGGAGAGAGAGAGAGAGAGATAGAGAGAGAGAGAGAAAAGAAGACAGAGAGAGAGAGAGAGAGAGGCAGAGAGAGGAATGGAGAGGAGGCGAGCTTGAGTCAACGAAAGTCGCAGGGAAGGGGGCAGGGGGAAGAAGGCCAGAGAGCGCTGAAGGATACAAATACTGGAACCCTCTTGGGATTTTTTGGGGGGCCTCGTCCGGCCGCTCGCTGGGAGTTTGACGTAGCTTCTTGGGAGCCTCTGAACCTGTCGGGGGCCTCCTGGAAGCAGGTTCGAAGCATTTTGGGGGCCGATTTGGGGCTTCTCGGGGCCTCCTTTGGGCCTCTTGGGGGTCTCCTGGGGCCTCTTGAGGGGCCTCCTTGGGGCCTCCTGGCGGCCTCTTGGGGCGGAAGGCTCGAGCTTGCGGTTCGTGGTCCCCCTCTGGGCCCCCTCTTGGGCCCGTCTTGGGGCCCTCTTGGGCCATCTTGGGCGCCTCTTGGGCCGTCTTGGGGCCCTCTCGGGCTGTCCTGGGGCCCTTTTGGAAGCTTCTTGGGCCGTCTTGGGGCGGTCTTGGGCGCCTCTTGGGCCGTCCTGTAACGTCGGAAAGCCCAAAAGAGAACTTTGTTGAAAATGCACGTTTTACCAAGGGAATGGGCCAATGTTTGCGTCTAGGGGCCCTCTTGGGACGCATGTTGGAGGCTTCTTGGGGCCCCTTGGGGGCGTCCTTGGACGTCTGGAGGCCATCTTCAGCATCTCGGAGCCCTCTTGGAGGCCTCTTGGAAGTTTCTTGGGCCGTCTTGGGCGCTTCTGGGGCCGTCTTGTCTGACCGGGGAGGCCTCCGGCAAGCCCCGACGAGCCCCCGGGCCCCCCGGGGCCCACATTTGTGGTCGAGGTCCCGGCCCCGGGCCCCCGGACCCGGTGCGCCGGTATATATATATATATATATATATATATTATATATATATATATATATATATATATTATATATATATATAGTATATATATATATATATATATATATATATATATATATATATATATATATATATATATATATATGGATCGCGGAGCATCTGGCGCGCCCAAGGCACGCGGCGCAGCCGGCGACCACGGGCCACCCGAAACTCCCATGGAAAATTCCAGGCGGGCCTCGAAATTTCACCCGGTAGACAACGGGAGAGATCGGCGACGCCAGGCACTGCGACGCCGGCATCGCGCCCAACAGGGTAGCGGAATCGAGGCCGCAACGGGCCACTCCTCCACGCTACCCGCGCGCAAAAACCATCGCGTCTGCTGCAAGAGCGGCCTCGGGGGCAAGTCTCGGTCCGGGAGACACTCGCGAGAGGTAGGCGAGGATGTAAATTGTCTGCGTCTCGTCGCGGAGCGCGTCAGTCGTCGCTCGAGTCACGAAACGAGCGCGGCCTGTGTCCATTCCCAGAGGCCCCGCCGAAGTTCCCGGGCCGCCCCTTCAGCGACGAGGCCGCGCCCCGCCAGAAATTCATGCGAATCGCGCCCCCGGAGACGCGGGGCGCCAGATGCGCTGCCGGCCGCCCGGCGCATCCACCCTCTACCCGTCGCCCGCCCCCACCGAGCGCCTGCCGAGGCTGACCAGAAACCAAGGCGGCAACGGCGGCAGCGACGGGATGGGCGCGACGAGGCATGGTACTTCAAGAACTCCTGCCCATCGTCGATGCGCCCCACGGTCGCGTCGACCTGCGCATTCCGAAACACGCATTGGCGAAACGAGGCGGTGCGCCAGCGGCTCTCGCCGCTGCTCGCCGCAACGAGGCCGCGCCCGATGCGCGCCACGCCCCCGACGCCCACGCCACGCCGCCGGCGCTCGCGCACGTCTGTCTCCCGCGCCCAGTGCATCATCGCGCCCGCGGGGCCCCGCTTCCGCGCGGCGATTTCTGAGGCGGCGTCAGAGCGGGCGCCCCTGTCCAGGCCCTTGCCTTTGCCCTTGCTCTTGCCATTGCCGGCGCCCACGAACGCGTTTCTTGATGTTCGGCGATGACGGGCGTCATGGGGGGGGGGAAGCGAGGGGGGGGTGACGTAACAACCCCCCACGCCGCGTGGCTCCGGCACCGCAGCCGCGCCCGCGCGCGCGACGCGACGAGCGACGAACGACGAGCGACGACGACGACGACGACATCGACGACGACGACGACGCGCGCAGCATGTTGGTTGCGATATGCCCCACTGCGCCTGTGTCCACGACAACGCTCGCGTGCACCACAGCGCGCGTGTATACCACAGCGCCTGCGTACACCGCAACAACCGTGTGCAACGCAGCGCCCGTGTACACCACAGTGTTTGCGTACACTACAGCGCTGGTGTGCATGTGAACACCGCATCTACCATGCGCAACACAGCGCCTGTGTACACCACAATGCTTGCGTGCACCGCAGCGCCTCTGCACGCCACAGCGCGCGTCTACACAACAGCATCGGCGTGCAACGCAGCGCTGGTGTACACCACAATGCCTGCGCGCATAGGACAGGTAGAAGGAGAATGTACGTGAGGATCTGCTGCGGACAACTAGACGCCACGCCAAGAAAATGCTGAGAATCGAATGCGACGTTCTTCCCTCCTCCCTCCTCCTCCTCCTCCTCCTCCTCCTCCTCCTCCTCCTCCTCCTCCTCCTCTTCCTCCTCCTCCCCTCCCGCTCCTCTCCTCCTCCCTCGCCTCCTCCTCCTCCTCCCTCCTCCTCCCTCCCCTCCTCTCCTCCCTCCTCCTCCTCCTCCTCCTCCCTCCCCTCCTCCCTCCTGACTCCCCTCCTCCTCCTCCTCCTCCTCCTCCCTCCTCTCCTCCTCCGTCTCCTCCTCCTTCCTCCCTCCGCTCCTCCTCCCTCCCCTCCTCTCCTCCTCCTCCTCCTCCTCCTCCCGGCCCTCCCTCCTCCTCCTCCTCCTCCTCCTCTCCTCTCCTCCTCCTCCTCCTCCTCCTCCTCCCTCTCCTCCTCCTCCTCCTCCTCCTCCTCCTTACCCCTGTCGCGCGGGTTCGCCCCACAGCGCACGTGCGCATCTCAACGCGCACCGCAGAATGTTCTACTAAATCGGTCCACTTGGTTCTCGGATGGCCAATTTACGCGGAGCCTCTTGGACGCAGACGGGAGGAGTTAGGGTGACGCGGGCGGACTTGGGAACACTCGTAGATTCCAACGGCGCTCCGTTGTCCATAAAGAATATGTTATATTGTTTTGTGGAATCCACAAGCGCTCCATTTTGTATGAAGGATTCGTTCGAACACGATATATATATATATATATATATATATATACAACAGTGGTGTTGTTGCACACGGTTGTTGTGGTGCACACAGGCGCCGTGGTGTACATGGGCACTGCACTGCACGCAGGCATTGTGGTGTACACTGGTGCTGCGTTGCACACGGATCACGTCGTGTACGCAAGCTCTGTGGTGTGCACAAGAGCTGTTGTGCCCGCAGGCACGGTTGCGCAAACTGACGCTGCGTTGCACGCGGCTGCTGTGGTGTACATAAGCGGTTTGGTGTACACAAGCGCTGTGGTGCACGCAGGCACTGTGGTGTACTCAAACGTTGTGGCGCAAATCGCCACCTACATGCTGGCGCTACCCGTCCTCCGTCATTCCTAAGCATTCCCTGACGCCGCCGGCGCGGAACGTGACGTCATCGACCCCCTCCACACACACCCTAGATGATTGCCGTCATCGGCCTGGGAAAAAAAAACAAACTTCAGCCGCGCCCGCGCGCACGACGACTATGAGCGACGAGCGAGAAGCCACGAGCGACGACGACGACGACGACGACGACGACGACGACGACGACGACGACGACGACGACGACGACGACGACGACTGCGGACCAGATTCCTATGTTGATTCCTACGCGGACACCTACGCGGATCCCAGTGCGCACGGCGGCAGTGCCCGGAGCGCACTGGGGGGGGCGGGAGCGTTACGTCATAGGGGGGGGTGGACCAGGGGCCATGGCGCCCGTCATGCCAAAAGCAGTAGAAAAACGGGTTCCACCTGGCTCGGGGCGCCCTCGCTGGTCGCGGCGGCCGAACCCGGGGGGCGGGGCTCCAAAGACAAAGCGCGCGCCGCGACCGCGCCGTCGCGCAGCGGCCCGGGCGCGCGAATGTCGCGCGGGAGCTAGCCGCGGCCCCGCCGCTGTGCCCGCGCGCTGAGCGCCGCGAGGTCCTGCGGAGAAGCACTCGACAAATCGGCGGGCGCTTCAAAGCAATGCCACCACGGAGCGAACCCGATCGCAGCTCGAGCCTCAACGGCGTCGCCTGACCCGCCCCCCGCCCCCCTTCCCGGCGGCAGCGGCGACGGCGAGATTGACGGCCAGAGATACCCGCGAGGGCCCCGCGAGGCCCCCCGATCATCCCCCGAACAACTCCAGGTGGGCCTCGAAACTTCACCCGAGAGACAGCTGGGAATAACTGCAAGAGACCTCGAAGAGCATATCAGAGCGCGACGCCGACAACGCGCCCGACGAAGCGGCGCAGTCGAGGCCGCAACGGGCCACTTCTCCACGCGGCCCGTCAGCAGCAGCCTTCGCACCTGCAGGGGCCGCCTTTGGGGACGGGCCTCGACCCAGGAGAAACTCGCGAGGGGGAGGCGAGGATGTCAGTGATCTGCATCTCGTCGCGGAGAGCGCCCGAGGAGCGACGGCGATGCGTGTCAGTCATCTCTTGAGAGTCATGACAAAGCGCGCGTTTCCTCCCCATTCCATGAAAAGTCCTGCCAACGTTCATGCGCGCTCTGCCGAATTCCCGTCGACGCGTGCCAGTCACCTGCTTAGAGTCATGGCAACGCGCGAGGTCGCCTCGATGGCATAAGCCCCGCGCTCTGAAATCGCGCCGCGAAATAACTGCAAGAGAGCCCCCGCGACGCGCGCCAGCCGTCCCGCGGGATTTCCGACGACGCGCGCAATTCGCCCCCGATCACAACTCGCGCGCCTCACTCGAGACCGCACGGCGGCCACCGCGCCCCGCTGCGGTCGTCGAAGCACCCCCGCAGGTGCTGGCTGGGCGCGCGGATGTTCTCGCTGGCGGGGCCGCGAAAGGCAGGCTGCATCCGCTGCGCCGCCGCCGCAGCCGCGGTGGCACTTGGCCCCGCGACGCGGCCGGCCTCCCACCGCGCGCCCGCGAACATCAGGAAGAGGACGCCGGGCTGGCACATGGGGTAACCGCGCCGGGTCGCTGTCGTGGCCATACTCTTTTTCCTATATTTGCACAAGCCCGGGCGGGGGGGAAAACCGTTATCCCCCCCCCAAAAAAACGGACTCCCGGGATCTGGGGCTTTGGGGCCCTTCGGACGGGCCTCGAAGCGGCCCCCCGGGCCTCGCAGGGCGTTTTGCCAAGCCTTCGCAGCACACCTAAGGCGATCAGGGGGGCCATTGGAGACGTCCCGGAAAATCCTAAGACAGCACAAGAGCGCTCAAAGAAGCCGTCATACCCGGAAATATCGTTCCAAAACGTACCAAGGGGCCTCCAAGAGCACCCCCAAGAAGGCCCCAAGAGGGACAAATCATTGATCTAATGGAGGTTTTTGGCGAATTTGGGGTTCTCCTCTTTCGGCTTCCTGACGCTCCAAGACAGCCGTCTTCTGGGCGTCCGAAGTCGCCTGGGAGGCTCCAAAATCGCCCCACAGCCATCCGAAAGGGCTTCCAGGCAGTCCAAGAGAGCCCCAAACCGGCACACCAGGGGTCCAAAATGGCCCTAAGAGAGCCCCATGGCGGCCCAAGATGGCCCCAAGACACCCTCCGAAGCATTCCAAATCGTGACCGGGGCGTTCAGGGAGACCGCGGTTAGAAGCACGGTGGCTTTAGGAAGCCCCAGAGGCCCCTAGAACACGCCCAGGAGGCCTCCAGAAGGCTTTAAGAAAGTTTGAGAACTTTGGTGAGGCCCCCAGAGGCTCTCCAAGGAGGAGCCCCCGCAAAAAAAATGCTGAGGAGGATAGGGAGAATGCCCACGGTATGGCGAGAATGAAGAAAAATACACATGGATGAAGGATAACGAACAACATTATTATAACAGCGATGCCAGAAAAGGCAGCAAGGAGTTATCGTGAAAGTGTCCGCGTGACCTTCCTGCCGCTCCGCCTGCATAGCAATCTTCAAGGACCAAAGTGCATGGCGCGAAGCGCCACTGCAGTCTTGTATATACAAATATATACCTATATATTTATACAGGAGTGCATTGGCGCTGCGCGCCATGCACCTTGGTCCTTTGGAATTCGCACGTTAGCGGAGTGCGAGCGTGCGCACATGCGCACACACATGCGTCTACGAATGCATAGTACATGTGTACATATATATATATACGTTTGTATGGATATGTACATGTATATGCAAATGGTCATGTAGCTATGTGCGCGCATACACATGCGTATAGCAGGCGGCAGTGGCCTGACTAGTTGCTCATATCATCACGCCACTAAAAGGCGCGAGGGTCTCAGGCAAACGCGGTCAGACTACCATGGGACAGCGCGTCGCCGAGGTCAGCGTTGCGAGGACGCCCCGGGTGAAAATGGCCTGAACACCTCCGCTCAGGGGAGGGCATATCCGAAGTCAGCCGCGCGAGGAAGTTTCAAGCGAGGAGTGGTCTGAACACCTCTGCTCAGGGCATCCTTGAACTTAGAGCGGCGAGAAGTCGCACGCGAAAGTGGCCGAACCACCATGGCGCAAGGCACCTCCGAAGTAAGACTTGCGAGAGTGTCTCAGGAGACAGTGGCTGGAACACCTCAGCTGAGAGTGTCTCGGGCCCCAGAGCTGCGAGGATGTCTCAAGCGAATACGGCGGGACCGATGCGAAGCAAGGCGCTTCTGAGGTCGGAGTTGCGAGCATGTCCCTGGCGAAGCGGATTAGACTACTTTCCGTTATCTCCTCTTCCTCCTTCCCCTTTTCCTTTCCTCCTCCTCCTCCCCCTCCTCTTCCTGTTTCTCCTCCTTCCTCTCCCCCCTCTCCGCTTCTTTTTTTGTCCAGTCTCCCCATCCCTGGCGGCGCGGCGCGGCGCCGCTCGGCCTCTCTGCGAGTCAAGCGGCAAAGGGTGAGAGAACCCCCCCGAATTAGGAACGGTTTCTCCCAAGCCGCCAAGGGGGCCCGAAGGTAGTGCAAGAGGCGGTGCAGGTTTTGAAATCCCCCAGGGGCTCCTCGGATTCGGCCTGCCCTCTCCGGTAAGGTAGGCAAGGGCACCGCGTCCAGGTGCTCAATCCCCCGTATCCCCCTCCCCTCGTCTTCGTTCCCTCCTCCATGTCCCCCTCCTCCTCGTCCTCGCCCCCCTTTTCCCCCTCATCCTCCTCTTCCCTCCTTCCAGGCAGGTGGTTTGAACGAAAAATGGCCTCGCTGCGCCATTTGATACGACAACGACGACGACGAAGAAGGCGACGACAAAGAGAAGGGATAATGAGAGGGGGTGACCGCTGTGTTGGTATCTCGTGGTGCGCCTCTCGGGGCCCTCTGGGAGGCAGTTTTGAAGTTTCTTGGGGGTGTTTTGGGGTTCTTGGGAAATTCGTGGGGCCTCTTGGGGGCCTCTTGGGGTCTCCTTGGGGCCTCTTGGGAGCTTCTTGGGGCCTCATGGGGCTCTCTCCGGGCCTTTTGGGGCCCTCCCGCGGCGGAAAATTTAGTTTTTGAATTTTTGGGCGCCCTCTTGGGTCTCTCTTGGAGCCGTCTTGGTGCTCTCTTGGGCCGTCTTGGGCGCCTCTTGGGCGGTCTCGGAGCCCTCCTGGGCCGTGTTGGGGCCTTCTTGGGGGCCTCTTGGGCAGTACTGGGGCGATCTAAGGAGCCTATTGGGCCATTGTGGAGCGTCGGTCTGCGGGAAAAGCGAGAAGCCAAAAACATCGAAAAACACACAGGAAAATCAACAATTGTAGCCTCTCGGGGCTCTCTTGGGAGGCCTCTTGGGGGTCTCTGGGGGCGTCTTGGACGCGTCTGGGGCGGTCTTGGGCCCAGATTGGGCGTCTTGGGCCGATCTTTGGGTGTCTCGGGGCCCTCTTTGGCCGTCGCGGGGGCTTTTCTTTTTTTCGCGTCGCACTCGCAGGACAGACACGGAGCACTCTGCAGGAGCGCCCCAAAGGCTCGGGGAGGCCGAAATTCGTTTGGGGGGGGGGGGCACCGTGTGCCGCTTTTCCGGGGTCCCCGGCCCTGTAAAAATATATAAATAGGAATATATACATACATACATACATACGGCCCCGGTACGACCTTGGCCCGACCATGAAGCATCGCCGCCAAAAAAATAACCCTCGGCGCCCTCGGCCACTGGAGCCAGGTCGAACCGGGGTCATGGCCTCACCCGGTACAGCCACAGAAGGATCGATCGTGGCCCCGACGTCCGCTGCCAGCGCTGGCGAGACAGCCCCACCCCAGCCGCGCTGCCCGCGCGCCCGGCCACAGTGCTCCGCGAACTCCGCGCGCGCGCGTTGGCCACGCCGTCGAGGGCCGCGCGCATCGAAGCGGACAGTTCGAAGGACAGCGGAGCGGGGAATGGACAGCGAGGCGGCGGAATGCCGCGAGCAGATTCGGAAAAATGGCCTAGGGCCAGATGCTAGCGCGCGGATCCGAGACGCTCGATCGCGGTTTCGCAAGGCGGTTCCGCATGGCATTCGGAACGCATGCCCTGCGGAACCACCTTGTCCGCATGCCATGTGAAACCACCAGGTCCAGCCTCGATCGCCCTGGAGACTTTGGCCCGGATCGCCACGGAGAGCGGCCTGGCGACTTTGGCATGGGTCGCGGCCTCGATCTGCCGTGGGACTTTCGCCTGGATCGCCGCAGAGAGCGGCTCGGAAACTCTGGCACGGATCGCAGCCGAAATCGCCCGGGAGATGTTGGCCTGGATCGCCGCGGAGAGCGGCTTGCAGAATCTGTCCAGAATCGCGGCCTCGACCGACCTGGAGATTTGGGCACGGATCGCCGCGGAGAGCGGCTTGGAGAATTTGGCATGGATCGCGGCCTCGACCGACCTGGAGATCTTGGCCTGGATCGCCGCGGATCGCGGCCTGGATGTTTTGCCCTGGATCGCGGCCTCGATCGCCCTGGAGATGTTGGCCTGGATCTGCCAGGGGTGGCCGCACCCAGCAGACCCGGCAGCACCCGGCGAGCCTGGGGCGCCCGGCGCACCTGGCGCACCTCGAGGCCCCTCCCGGGGGGCCTGGGGGCACACCTCGATCTTCGCGAGCTGTACACCCTGCGAAATGCTTAAGAAATCATGGGTTAAGAAATTCATAGTCTCAGAACTTGAATAAAAAGCCCAACATTTCTATTACAATCTTAGGATTTACATTGAACCATTAAGAATAATCGAGAGCCTGGACGAAAACTGAAGTTTTCTTAAGCATCGCCTAAGGTGTACCATCGTGTTTGCCCAAATCGCGTCGTCGTCCCATGCTCGTGGTCTCCCCACGAGGCGAGGTGCGGGCCAATCCCAGGGCCAGACCGACCGCCATCAAGCCCAGGCCTCGCACCGCGACAAGCTCAAGCAGGGGCGCGCCGCAGCGGGACGGCGGCGGCGTGCGAACTGCGACACCGGGGCCTTCGGTGCAGCTCCCTGTGAGGCCACGAAACGCGCGAGGGGTGTGCCAGAGTGGAGGCGGGGCGGCATGCGAAACCTGCCATTGGGGCTTTCGATGGAGCTCCCTGTGCGGCCACGAAACGTGTGAGGGGTGTGCCGAACTGGGTGCTATGATGTCGACGATGACGATGTGGATGTAGATGGAGATGGAGATGGAGATGGAGGTGGAGATGGAGATGGTGATGATGATGATGGTGACGGTGATAGTGTTGGTGATGGTGCTGATGATGGTGGTGATGGGGATGATGACGATGACGATGATGATGACGATGTCGATGTCGATAGTGTTGGTGATGATGATGTTGTTGATGATGATGGTGATACTGGTGATGGCTGATGATGCTAATGATGATGACGACGACGATGATGATGATGATTACGATGACGACGATGACGATGACGAGGACGATGACGAGGATGACGAGGATGAGAATGATGATGATGATGATGATGATGATGATGATGATGATGATGATGATGATGTTGATGATGATGATGATGATGATGATGATGATGAGAATGGTGATGAGAATGGTGATGGGAGGGAAGAGGCAGGGATTGGAGGAGGAGGGAGGAGGAGGGGGAGGAGGGGGAGGAGGAGGAGGAGGAGGAGGGGGAGGAGGAAGAGGAGGAGGGGGAGGAGAAGGGGGAGGGGGAGAAGGAGGAGGAGGAGGAGGCGCTCTCTCTTCAAAACTAGGGCTCACCATCACAGGATGGTAGGAAAAAAAAAAAACATACATAAAACTACTTTAGCGAAGGACCCCAACCATCTGCACCTGTGAGCAGCGCAGTTGTGAGGGTCGTCCTCGGTGGCGCTCATTGTGGGCCGCGAAACGTGTGAGGGGCGTGCCGCAGCGGTGCGAGGCAGGCGCACGTGGGCCCTCCCGCTGGGGCCTTCGGTGGAGCTCCATATGGGGCCACGAAACGTGTGAGGAACTGCCTATGGTTAAGTCGGGCCTGTCCCCCTACAGGGGGAGCTTCGACGAAACATACAAAAAAAACGCAAAAATAATCAACAATAGTCCAAAAATAGTCTGGGGACTATTTTGGGGGTATGTGTTGACCTTTTTGGTGCATTTCTGGGGTATGCTTTATTTTTCGTCGAAAACCCCCTGTAGGGGGGACACGCCCGACATAAGCCTATGGGGGTACCCATGCGTACTCTGTCAACAGTTTCACGGATGCAGCGCGGTTCCTTTTCAAAATGCGGCTCTCGCCCTAGCGCCGCGCTCACTCGTCTCAACAGTGCGCAACAGTTGTAAGGATCTCGTGCCGCACGACCCAGACAGGGTACTTTGGCACGATGTCGGAATGTCAGGGCGCAACACTCACATTGATTCGCGGTGTTGAAGTACCAGGTGTCCTGGCACGATTTAAGATCGTCACGGCGCAACAGTAACGGTGGTTCGCGGCGTTGACGTCCCAATAAAAGCGTTCTGGCACAATTCCAGATGTTCAACCAGGTCTTCCGACGGGGCCTTCCCTCAACGAAATTGAATTGAACCCTTGTCTGGGGCCTATTAAACTCTGAGGTAGGGCTTGTTAAAATATCGATGGTGAGACTTGGGCTTCTACTGGCCATCCTCCTCCTCCTCCCCCTCCTCCTCCTCCTCCTCCTCCTCCTCGTTCCCTCGTCTCTTATGCGTCCTCCCAAATCATCCTTCCGAATCCCGACGACGACGACGACGACGACGACGACGACAGCGACGACGGCAGCGACGACGGCGACGGCGATAGCGACGGCGGCGGCGGCGAAGGGCACCGCCATCGCCGAAGTCTGCGAGGGTCCGGGGCTGCCACCCGCGCCGCCTGCCGTACGGCGGCGGCCCCCGCGGGCCCACGCCTGCGCGGAGGGGGGGAGGGGCCAGCGCTCCAAGGATGCTACGAAGCCATCTCCACCCAAGGCCTGTGAGACTCTGTCGGACCTGCGGGGCCTGTGCCTGGATCGGGGAGCCAAAAATCCGCCGTGGCAATCAGCGCCCCGACAAACGAAGCCGTTTCGCAGACGCACCCAGGTGAGGAATGGAACGGGGAGGAGCTTCTTCAATCAACGCCAGGAGCTGTGTAGTAAACGCCAATTATCGGGGTCGGAGTGGTGTTTCCTCCCTTGGGGGATGCCAGAAATGCCAGGATGCCATGGGTACCGCTCTGGTCCTTCTCCCGGCGGGTGGCGCATCAGAACCACCTCCGCCACCGCCAGGGAGGAGGGGTCCAGAGGAAGGAGGATCCAAGGCTGCAGACCGAGGTTCGGATCGAGGGTCGAGAGTTTGCTGGGCGCTGTTGTACTTGGTTTACCTCTCCGAAGCCTTTGATGGTTTCTCCCAAAGCCTTTGGGGTCCTCGGGCACCTCGGGGTCGGAGGAGGAGGAGGAACAGGAGGAGGAGGAGGAGGAGGAGGAACAGGAGGAGGAGGAGGAGGAGGAGGAGGAGGAGGAGTACCAGCAGGAGGAGGAGGAGGAAGAGGAGGAGGGGGAGGAGAAGGGGGAGGGGGAGGGGGAGGAGGAGGAGGAGGAGGAGGAGGAGGAGGAGGAGGAGGAGGAGGATGAGGAGGAGGAGAACGACGGGAGGACGACGGGAGAACGGAGAGGGGCAGAAGAGGGAGGAGGGCGAGGTGTCAGGAAGGTGTTTGGTGGGCTTTCGCAATTCTACGGAGCTTGAACGGCCCTTGGGAATTCTTCGAGGTTATGGAGGGTCTTAGGGGGAGGGGCGGGGAAGGGGCGGGAGGGGACGTGGACGCGAGGAGGGAGGAAATGCGAAGGATGGGGACGGGAACCGACGCATCACATCATGCCCCGACGCAACCGAACTGCTTCAGGAGCGCCCGTGTGTTGTCGGGCACGCGTTCAGGCCAAGTCGAAAGTACCGATTTATTTGTGTACATCTATATAATCCTATACATACACATATGTGCGTGCAGAACGATTTTCGGACCATCGCCATACTAATGCAGGGTCCCGGATGGGCCCTCCTCGGGGTCTCTTGCGCCCGTTTTCGGGCCGTCTTGTGGGCTTCCCAGCCGTCTCGGGGCTATCTGGGGCCGTCCTGGTCCCTCCTCGGGGCTGTTCTGGGGCGGTCTGCAACCCATTTGGGCTGCCTTGGGGCCCCTCTGGGCCGCCTGGAGCACCTCTGGAGCGTCTTGGAGCCGTTTCGGGCCTCTCTTGGGCCGTCCTGAACTCGTATCGGGGCCTTCTTGGGCGCCTATTGGGGCATGTTGGAAAGATTTCAGCTTCGAGGAGTGTCGTGATGATGATGACGATGATGATGACGATGCTGATGCTGGTGATGATGATGACGATGGCGACTTTCCCTTTGCGCAACACTGGGATAACGAAACAGCAGAACTGCCAATCCAAAGAGGCCAGTCAGCACCGCGCCCAGGCGCGAAGACGCTGAAGACTCCGCGGCAGAACACCGAGCGCGCAAACGTCGGGGAGGCAAAAAGGCGATCGATCGATTGCTGCCGAGACCGCGCAGCTAAGACTGCCACACGAGAGAGAGAGAGAGACGGGCGGCCATAGACAGCGCGGGCGGAGGCGCGGTTTGCACTTGCCCCAGCCTGGCGCGGGACAACGGGCAGATAAGAACAAAAGGGGCCAGACAGAGCAACTACGCCCCAGTCGCGTCAGACGCGCCTCGCGGAGGTGAGCACGTCGCAATGACTGGCGGATTCGCTGAGCGGAACCGAACGAGCGGAGCCGCACGAGCAGACAGGCGCGAGAGTGGCGACAGAAGCCAGGGCGGCAGGGCGGACCTGGACGGCGCCCCGTTCGGAGAGAGACGGCGGAGACGAGGGGCGGAAGCGGCAGCGGCAGCAGACGGGGGGCAGCAGCAGCGGCGGCGGCGGCGGCGCGGCGGGAGAGCGGCAGCAGAAAAGGGGGAGCGACGGGAGACGCGGCCAGCACAAGTCCCGGCCACAGCGCGGGAAGACATGACATGCAGAGCTACGAGTGCCCGACCGACTGCACGGCCACTCCGATCTCAGGGCGACGCTGCACATCAGCAGCCGAGGGCGGCCCCAGAGGCCTCCTGAGGTGCGGCGGCGACTCTCAGTTGTGAGCGAGTGCGCACGACGCACTCCAGCAGCGCGACAGAACCAGGGCCCTGACTTCATCTGGAGCCCGACCACCAACGCAACAGATCGTCGGGAACGGGCCGGCAAAACCGAGCAGGAAGAGAGGGCAAGCCCACGAGGGGAAGAGAGCTGTAACTTTCGGGGCAGAGGCCCAGAGCCCCCGACGCATTGTTCTCAGAACGATGACCACTAAAAACGTAGAGACCACTTACAGACTGAACGAATCCTCGTAGCTAGCACAGGAAACCAGACACTAGCAGGGAATGAGAGAGGCATCCATCGCAGAACTCGTCGCTCGATATTGGCCTGAACGTGCGCGGAGCCTGCGTCACTTCCCAGGGCAGCCGCGAGTCCCGCTTAGGACACCAGAAACGGGGCCATCGGGCTAATCAGACTAGCCTCGGGTAGAAGCTGGGAGTCGCCATCGGACATGTAGGACAAGAAGGAACCAGCATACCACCCACTCTACTGGTTCACGGGGATGAGGTCATTAGAGCCACTCGGAGTGGCCCCAAGGTTCTTCAGGAAACGCCTCCAAGCTTTCGAGTCCTGCGCGGTTCTGCACGCTGCGGCCCTGGCCAAATGCGAGACCGAAATACGCTGAGCATTACATGCAAGAGCCTTCAGCGTCCTCATCATGCTTCCTGCGAAGCTGAATCTGGGCACCTCGATCTGCAGCAGACGACTGGCAGGGTGATGAAACTGAAGCACATAGCCCAGCACTGAGATCGCTCGGGCTTTGCCAAGCCCCCACTAATCAAATTTGCATGAACGACGAAAGAAATCGTGAACCTGAGCCGGGGGCGAGTTCAGCTGCGCTTCGGGGCCGGCGCTAATTCCAAGATAACGGCGCCATGTATTCACCGAGAAGAATGCACTACAATATCCGAGCGCACTCAGGTGGAACGTAAACCATCGCACCTGACTCGGACGGTAGACCAAGACAATGCACTCCCCAAAATGCAGTTCAAGCCCCACAGCTGCAGACAACTCACATGGCCTGTAAACAAGCGAAGCCACATCGGTGAAAAAAATTGGACAACCAGAGCCTGAGATCGTCGGCAAACACTAAGAGCCTAGACCTGTAGGACGAGCGGCGCATAGCCATCAGCACACCAGGCACAGTGACAGCGCAAGCGGCAACAAAGATGCAGGGCATCCCTGGCGAACACCACGCCCAACTGAAAACAGAGCGAACACCGATCCACCGAAGTGGACCATCGGCGCGTCATCATCGTAGAGGTCAGAGAACAACTTAGCGACTCACTGCGGAATGCCCATCTCGCTCAAGACGAAGGAAGCCAGGAGATTATCAGACTCGGGCAAACTCACTTGAAATCCGCGAAACCTTACGTCCAGCGCGCTGCAACAACGTGCAAGGTATACCCGCGTTTTCGTGCAGAATGTCGCCAAACCGAATGGTATTGTTCAGCGTGTGCCACCGCTCGCGATTGCGTCGCGCACGCGCGCGCCTTCTCTGCACTTCACGCCCAGGCAGGCCGGTCGCTGCATCCAAAACCTCTACCTCCTCATCCAATAAAGAATCGTTGATGAGAAGCGCTGTTGAGGAAAATTGACCGGCGGGGTCAAGGAGAGCACCGGCGTCGACGTCAAAAAAAACGAAGATAGCAGGATAAGCACGGAGAGCACGGATCGCCAGGTAGCGCGAGGATGGACCAGCATGGAGCGCTCCCAAGGCTAAGACACTCCAACGCAAATACTCGTGAGTAGATGTGGCCTCTCGACAGCGCATAACCTTCCGAAATTCTGCACGCGCGTCGTGCACGGCCACCTTGGTGCGATCCAGCCCAACCACGGGGGGGCGATGCAACTTCTCTGTCGTTGAATCGCTCAGCTAGGATGTCTCTGCACACAGCGGCCCGAGGGGCCCAGGCGGGGGTGGGGGGGGCGGTAGGGCCAGGGCGAGGTTTAGGCGAGATCGCGGCAACCACGGGGACATGGCCCGACGGATTCTTGAGTTGCGCGGGCACGCCAATCGCGGACCCAGCGATGGCATAATCATTCAAGACCGACGGGGCGCAGATTGACATGCACTCTGCCCAGCCTAGCTGCGCCGACCGCATGAGGCCCATGACAAGCCCGGCCGGCACCCAGCGGCTGATGCAGCTCGGTCCACTCCCCGTAAAGCGAGCTCCATTCCCCTGCGCGCGCGGCGCACCCTCGAGCGACAATGCACTGCTGCACCTGAAAGCGACCTTCACCGCTGAGCACAAAATTGAAGTCCCCGAGCAGGACATTCGCAACAGACATCGAGGGCAGGAGACACGACTTCAGACGGAGCAACTGCTGCCGATAGCGCGCGACGCCCGTGTCGACACCGGGCACCTGCACGGCCGCCAGCCCCCGGAGGCCGCTAAAGCCCCACCCCACACATGCGAGACTCTGCCAGGACAAAATGACGCGATGGTGAATGTCGGCGAAACAGCGAGCAACCCATGTCCAAACAGATTATGCGGGCGAGGGCTGAGAAAGAAACGATGGTTGGGGAACTTTTTCTGGAGACCGACGAGGTCCCCGATCTGGCATTGAGACTCTTGGATGCATACTATCCGATACCGTCGAATCAAGCCCAAGAAGAGCTCCCACCTCTGACATGTTCTGCGCTTCGTGCTGGCGACGTTCTCTAGTAACCCTCTAGCCTTCCATGTCACCACAGTAAGAGATCTTCATGGCAAGAAAGGAAGGAACGAGAAGTGGTTGATCTTCTGCAGCCGACCCTGTGCCTCGCTAAATTCACTAATGCGCAGAAGA